TTAAATTATTTGAATCAAATGTAAAAATCAAAATGGAAATCGAATTGGTTCGAATTAAATTAAGTTAAACTTCAAATTATGCAAATTGATTCGAAAATTATTAATCTGAGACAAACTTAAATGAGTTTAATTTAATTATATCCAATTACATTAGCCCAAATTAAAATGTTAAAATCAAATTTAAAAATCGAACAAATTTGAGTTGGGTTAAATAAAATTAGATGTTTACAATTCAATTTTTTTTCAAAGCATACTCGTTTTGATTCCCTCTTCCATATTCTAATATCAGGTTTTTTTTTTTTTTAACATTTATGAATAAGCCTAGATCTAAAAATGAAAATCGTAACTTAAAACTAGAATCAACCTCCTTCCGCATATCTTAAGTTTTCAGTTCTTAGTATGTCGCTCCTTTTCATTTAGCCTTCCTACCCAACAAATACCAAGTCCTAAAACTATACTAAAATATCAATGATTCGCCTTTAAATTATAAATTAGAAAAAAATTATACTAAAATATGTAGTTAATAAAATTGCTATTATAAAAATAAAACATAACAATTGCACAAATAAAAACAATAAGTAAAACCTCACTGAACTTACAAAATAAATAGTAAACAATACTACAAAATAAATTTTTTATAAGATAATAAAGATAAAATTACAGTAAAACAAAGTTGGAGTAATAAAAATATTACTATACAGAATAAAAAAATATTTTAAATAAATAAAATACATTTATTAAAAAACACATGATGATTTTTAAACCCATCCACATGTCAAAAATATAAGCTATCAATATTGGACTATTTCTTTTTTTATCAAAAGGTTTGGCTGTTATATATTTACTAGTTTTAAGCCTGCGTTATGCATGGAGTAATAGCATTGGATAAGCAAACAACTATAATTTTTGTTATATATAACATTATTAGTTTTAAAAGAATTGCAAGAGTAAAATATTGGAAACTCTATATTGACATTATAAATATATGGCTACATTTAACATACCCACTTTTTTTTACAACGTTGGAAAGTTTAAAATTTTGATTTCTATCAAATATTTAAGAATATTTTGTAATTTCAAAATTTTAAGGTCAAGAAAATTGTTATTTTTTTCAATTTAAAAAATTAATTGTCAAATACTACTTATTTGAACATTTAAAGTTTTATATTTGTGTTATGCACGAGGCAAGTATATCTATAATAATTTTTGTAATATAACATAATTTCAAATTTTAATATAATTACAATTTTAGAGAACAATGTACATTTTATTTTCATGATTACAAAAATATTAATAATGGTTGATAAAAATAAGTCACCCTAAATACTTTTTTTATCTCATTTTATTTACAATTTAATGAATAACCTTAATTTGATTATTAAAATAAAACTATAAAAGTACAAAATAAAAAAAGTGTAATATAGATTTTTTTTTCTCATTCAAAAAGATAATTTCATTCATAAAATAAAAGGATTACCAAACTTAAAGAATTTCACCAAAAAAAGGCTCTAATGCATAAATAAAAAACTAATTGTAACAACACCTAATAATACATTCAATCTAATTTGTCAAATATATATACACACAAACAATCTAATTAAACTACCATCTTTGTTAAAGAATTAGTAATATGGTTTGCTACTTTGCTTCTCTGCAGGTATATAGGTAAAATCAACAATTCTAATTTTACATATAACAATTAAAAAAGTATTCTGCTCTTTCTAAGGTCATGAATGTGTGTTGAAATCTAGGATATATTTGTCACTTTAAATCTAATATCATATATATTTACCTATTTTTAAGGGGACATAGAAATAATTAATTAAATAAAGTTATTTAAAAAAAAATCAATGTGAAAAAAATTTTGATATTAATTGTTGTAGTATTAATATATTAAATTTAAAACTTAATTGTACATATAGTTTCTTCTAATGGGTGAAAGGGTTGTGTGTGTGTCTATATATATATATATATGAAGGAGTTGAATTATATTAAAACCAAACTATTGGCATTTTTATTTCAACATTGTGTGTGTTTTTGTTATGAATTGGTGGCATATCAATATGTTATCTTACAATATCTATCTATCTATCTAAAAAAAAAAATCAAGATGTTTATCTAAAAAAGAAATATAGAAGAATATAAGAGATTGGGTATAAAAGTTTCAATTATATAGTTTTAGTATTTCTAAAATTTTAGGACTTGTTAAATAAAATAAGTGACAAATTTCACAAAATTGAGGAATTTGTTTCATTTTATCAGATTTTTAAAAATTACAAACTAATCCCCCTTACATCATTTAAAACTTTATTCATTGAGAACTTCTAAAATAATTTTTTCATTTTTAATTGAAAACAAGACATATTTAGCCGGATTATAATTAACTATATCATTTTGAGTCAATTTTACTTACAATACAATATATGAGATTCTTTATGATTTGACTTTCAACCAATATATAGTCGTCCAACATGATAGTATCCAAATTAATTAATCGTCCTTAGCATTTGATAGTAAAACCTTACAAATCAACATAATTTTATCGAGTAACCTCCTAAAATAAACCAAAATTATCAAGTCTATACTAATTAATACATCACAAAAGAAAATAATTTTTTAACAATCACATTCACACACATATATATATAATATCAAAGATTCACTTTAAATTATAAATTAGAAAAGAAAAAAAATTAAACTAAAATACACAGTTGATAAAATTATTATTTTAAAAATAAAACCTAACAAGTGCACAAATAAAAAAAAAAAGTAAAACCTTAATAAACTTACAAAAGAATAGCAAGTAAGACTACAAAATAAAATTTTCATAAGATACCAAAGATAAAATTGTAGGAAAGCAAAGTTGAAGAGTGGTCAAATTTGATTTGCTTAATATTCATATTTGAAAAAATTTGTATTTATAATACTTTCAAGAAGCATTATTATAAATGTATTGGAAAATTATTCGTTTTAGCCGTCTAATGTAATAAGTAATAAAAAAATGAAAGTAATGCAATTTTCCTTTCAAAATTATAAAATTTAAATTCTTATCTAATCTGCTATCTTTAAAAAAAAAAAAAACAAAATCTTTTCTAATTTAATGGTATCATTATTGCCATCCATTAAATGGCTTATTTGCCATTCCTTATTTACTACATTAAATTAAATTAAAATTTTCATTAGTAATAAAAAGATATAGAAATATATTTACGAGTGATTAGCTTTTAATTTAGTGTTTTTTATCTTTATTATTGATCAAATTAATTGTAACTTATTCATATAAGATGAAAATATTGGATATTTAAAATATAATAAGTGTAATTAATTTAGAGAATACATGATGATTTTAACTTTTACCAAAAAATTTAATTTTTATATATTTATATAAAATATAAAATTAAAAAAAAATTTACTTGTGTAAGCTGCCGTGAATCATACGACAAGCAAAGAAACACGAGTATTATAATAAACTTGGATGTACTTTTTTTTTAAAATTAACTTACATGTACTTAATTTTTGTATATAGTTATAGATTTAATTATTCCTTAAAAGATAAAAATTTTTTGTGGTTCTTTTTTATATAGATTTTTTTTTGGTGTTGATTTTGCTAATTTTTTATTTTTATTTTTTATGAAACTTTTGAATTATTTTTATTTTTATTATGATTAATAACTAAAATAAAATAATTGTTATTATTATTAAATAAAAACGAAAACAAATTTAAAAAATACTTTCACACGACGAAATAGCTCCTCCAAAGAGCTTACTTTTAATAATCATATTTAAAATTTTAAAAAAATTCAAAATCTTACACTCATTTTTGTTGCCAGAATCTAGTGATCTGTAGAAAGACAAAAGAATTATTTGATTCTCATCCCCACGTAGCTCATCAAAGTTTAGTTTGTACAAAAAAAAAAAAAGACAGACTACTAAGATTCTATTTAGATGTATAATGAGATTAATAGTAGTTAATTGTAGTAAAATTAAAACTAATAATAAAATTTATTATGATTATGATTAAAAAAATTATTGTAATTATGATTAAAAAAATTTTTAATAAAAAATTTATATTAAATAAATTTTATTAAAATTAATATTTACATTCAATTAAGGATACAATAATTTCAATCCTCGGTGCAATAAATTCTAAATAGGCATTGAAAAGTCGTATAAAATATAATCAGTCAAGGATTAGTAAAATTTAAAGACAAAATGCTGACGTGGATCCATATTTTTGCTTTCTCCTTTTCGTTATTCTCTAATTTCTTTGTTTCTTTTTTCTTCTTTGTCTATTTCATTTTTGAAAAATTATTTATAATTGATATTGGAGTATTTGATTTTACAAGTGAAATTAAAATAATAAAATAAATATTATTTTTTTAATTAATTTTTTTAATTTTTAAATATATATTAAAAAACATATGTCACAATTTTCATATGTGAAATTAAAAATTTCATTATTAATATATTTGATAATTCTCTTTATTTTTATAAAAAATTCAAGCTGTTCCTTTTGTTTTTCTCCCCATTGTTTCTTCTTTCTTCACAACTCTGTTTTACTGTGCTTTTTAAAACTTTGCCAATGCATGTCTCTCTCCCTTTCCGTCACCTTCTTGATAGTTGTTTTTGACATCATTCACCCCCATAAAGCATCAAAAGTCCCGTAAACCCAAAACCTCACGGACAATTTTAGCTGATATTTTAGAATCTAATTTACAAGGTTTTATTTTGTTGTTAAGAAACAAGGATCAGTGTCAATGCCGGCAATCTAGCATGAGAAGAAAAATGGGAAGTTAGTGAAGAGTTTAAAAATGGAGTGTGTGTGCATTCTGGAAAAGTAGAACAAGAAAAAACAAAATAAATGTGGTAGAAAAAAGAAAATTTTGGCCAAAAAAAAAAAAAAGGAAAATGGGTCCAATTAGTCATACAATCAGCATTTAGTCCTTGGAATTTTTAGGGATCTTTTTGATGGAATGACTAGATTTGATACAATTTCTTAGTTAGGTGACTTATGTGGCACAAATTAAACTTGAATGACCTGTAAACAGTTACCTGTTGTGAAATTTATTTACCCAAGCGATAGAATAAAACTGAAACCAAAAGACATTGCCTTAAGTCTGGCCGAAGCACTTCCAATTAAATACCAAAAAAAAAAAAAGGAAAAAACTCACTTTGAAACCAAAAAGGTTGTTGAAACAAAGCTTGCCATCTCTCTCTCTTCTGGCAGTCAGTCTTCTCTTCTTCCCTTCATGATTTTCGCCTTTCCAACAGGTAATCATCCCTTTTCTTTGTGTTCCTTTGTAATATGAGAGTTTCTTCCTTTTCTTTGTATTCAAGAGATAAACCTAGATCTCTTTGTCACCATTTCCTCTTTGTATCACTGTTTATTTCTTATATATATATATATATATATATATATATATATATATATTTCATAACAAAGTCAAGGGTGGGAAAAAATGAAATGGGTATCTCCTTTGTTTTATTTTTTTTAAACTAAATCTAAAAGGCTTGATTTTTGTGTAATTTTGTTTCATGTAGGACATTGGTTTTGTGCATGAACAAGTAAGGATGGAGAAAAATGAAGTGGGTATTTCCTGGTTTTGAAGAAAAAGGGGAAATTTTTGGTTGAAAGGCCTGATTTTTTGTGTAATTTTGGTTCACGTAGGAGCTTGTTTTTGTGCATAAACAAGTTAAGGTGGGATAGAACTGCAGTGGATATCTCTTGGTTTTGAAGAAAAAAAAGGAATTTCGGTTGAAAGGCTTGATTTTTGTTTGTAATGGAAGGAGGGCTAGGTGGAAACACTGTTCCACCAAATTCATGTGATAAATCTAAAGTTTTGGATGTAAAACCACTACGTACCTTGATTCCTATATTCCCGGAGGCGTCTGATGGTCCTCCTTTTGTTTGTGTGCCTCCTAATGGCCCTTTCCCATCTGGGTTTTCGCCATTTTTCCCGTTTAGTGGACCACAAGGATCCCGATCTACACCTGACATTAACCAAAATGGCTTCAATTCAACTCCTCTGCCGATTCGGTCATTTAGAGCAGAACCATCAACTTCTAATGGCCAAAATGTGTCATATGGCAGTCATAAACTCAAATCAACTAGGTCAAGATCCGTTAAAAAGAAAGCCAAGAGGAGCAAATATTCCGAGTTTGCGTTAACTGCTCTTACTAATTTCAATCCTGGAATTAGTTTATCTGAACGAGATGATGGTAACAGGGAATTGGTTGAAAATGTGCTTTTGAAGTTTGATGCACTTAGGAGAAAGCTTAGCCAAATGGAAGATGCGAAGGAATCACATTCTGGGATTGTTAAGCGTGCAAACTTAAAAGCTGGCAACATAATGTTGAGCAAAGGGGTGCGGACTAATATGAAAAAGAGAATTGGGGTTGTTCCCGGTGTTGAAATTGGGGACATTTTCTTCTTCCGGATGGAGTTGTGTTTAGTGGGCTTGCATTCTCAGACCATGGCTGGGATTGACTACATGGTTATCAAGGATGATTTAGAGGGAGAGCGATTGGCTTTAAGCATTGTTTCATCTGGAAGGTATGATGATGATGCTGAAGATCCTGATGTTTTGGTATATAGTGGTCAAGGTGGGAATGCCAGTAGAGATAAAGAAGCATCTGATCAGAAGCTTGTGAGGGGCAATCTTGCTTTGGAAAGGAGCTTGCAACGAGCCAATGAAGTTAGAGTCATTCGGGGTGTGAAGGATGATCTCCATCAATCATGTAAGGTCTATGTATATGATGGGCTTTACAAGATCCAAGAGTCATGGATGGAGAAAGGGAAATCAGGTTGTAATATGTTCAAGTATAAATTGGTAAGGATCCCTGGGCAGACAGATGCTTTTGCTACTTGGAAATCCATTCAGAAGTGGAAAGAAGGTCTGTCTTCAAGGGCTGTACTTATTCTTCCTGACCTCACTTCAGGTGCGGAAAGCACACCTGTTTCACTTGTAAATGAGGTTGATGATGAAAAGGGGCCTCCTCATTTCACATATTCCTCTACTGTCAAATATCCAAAATCATTCAAATTAGTGCAACCTTCTTTTGGCTGCAATTGCCTTGATACGTGCCAAGCAGGAAATTCTAACTGCTCCTGCATTCAAAAAAATGGAGGTGATTTCCCTTACACTGCCAATGGGATTCTAGTTTGTGGAAAACCCATGATATATGAATGTGGTCCCTCATGCCTTTGCTTTCGTAACTGCAAAAACAGAGCTTCTACAGACTGGTTTTAAAGTTCACTTTGAAGTTTTTAAGACCAAAGATAGGGGTTGGGGTCTGCGGTCATGGGACCCTATTCGTGCAGGTACATTTATTTGTGAATACGCAGGTGAAGTTATTGACAAAATTAAGGCCAGGCAGGATGGGGGAGATGGTGAAAACAATGAGTATGCTTTTCATACAAACCGTCTGTATGAATCCTTCAAGTGGAATTGTGAAACTGAGGTACTAGGAGAGGGAAGTTCTGACACTACTGAATGTTTTGATATTCCATCTCCCCTAATTATAAGTTCAGAGAACAGTGGAAATGTAGCTCGATTTATGAATCATAGTTGCTCACCAAATGTTTTCTGGCAGCCAATCACGTATGAACATAATAATGAAGCTTTTCTCCATATTGCTTTCTTTGCAAAGCGACATATTCCTCCAATGACAGAGTTGACATACGATTATGGTATTCGACGCTCGGATGAGACTGAAAGTAACAATGTGGAATATGGAAGAAAGAAATGCTTATGTGGATCACCAAAATGCCGAGGTTATTTTTATTGAGGTTTAGGCTGAGTACCTGTATTCGGTAGAGAAGCAGAACTTTTGGCTTTCTGAACGAGGTATGGGATCTTGCTCATCTTTGTCTAATCATGTAACTATATATGCATTTCCTTTAGTGTTTACAGCTTCTACTAGGGATGCAGATTATTCTTATGCCATTACATGCAGAAGAACTGGCAACGAATGCAGACCATGTCTGATGGTGTTTTTTGTAGTCTACATTGCAGGAAGTCTGTTTATGATTCAGTAAAATACTTGGTATTTCTCTTTATTGTTGTTTAACTGTCTTTGACTCTTTGCCAATGAAGGGGGCTGTTTCAAGTTTTTGTTCTCTCAAGTAAAATGATTTTGTCATACTCAAAAAATTTCTAGATGAAAAGTATGTTCCCATTTTGTGCATTTCACATTCACATCAAAGGTGCATTCAAGGTAAGGTTAGAGGGGAATAACTTTTTGGGTGAAGTTTAATTAAAATTTTTAAAAATTTTTTAATTAAAAATGATTTAATAAAAATTTTAATAAAAAATCCAAATTGATAAATTAATAAAATTTAATGAAAAGTTCAATAATATGTAAAAAAAATTATTAAAATTATCGTTTATAATTAAATTTAATCAGAGTTTACTGAACAGCAAAAATTTTAAAATTTTTACTAAGAATGTTTATTTAAAAAATATATCAAAATGTATTAAATTTTTTTAAAAAAATTTGCATACTTAATTTATATAATAAAAATTTTAAAATTTTTTATTTTAATATTTAATTTTAGTTTTTATTTAATAAATTTTAATAAAAAACTTCACGAGTTTCATTTAATAAATTTCATGCAAGTCTTTCTCACTTTAGAGGGATGAAACTTTATGATCAAGTTTGAGGCTAGAAATTAGCCTTTGGGTCATATATATATATTATATATGCGCGGGGGATAAGATCAATTTATATAAAACAATTTTTTACGTTTTCTTATATTTTATATAGTCATTAATTTTAATAGATTTAAAAAATAAAAAAGATAAATTAAAAAAATAAAAAAAATTTGATCTCATTTTTTAGATCTATTAAAATTAATAATTAAAAAAAAGTGTTAAAATGTTCATTAATTTGAAAAATGGACAAATAGCCTCAAAATTTTCAATTTTGCAGGACAAGTAAATCTTTTTGTTATTAATCCAGTAGTTATTCGTTAAAATTCTCATATAAATGCCATTTTATTGTTGAAAAGTCAATGTTCGCAAATAAATCACTTGAAATAATATTTTATAATAATAAATTATTTTTATTTTTCTCAAAACATATCAAATTTATTAATAATAGAAAAACTTTTAGATGCAATATATAAAAAGATTTACAATTATAAGCCTGCTAATAAGTAAATATATGTATGACAAAATGAATCTATTAAGTATGTAATATTATTTTGACATGTAATAATTTGATAAAAAAAGAAACATTAAGGATGTAATATGAAAAAAAATTAGTTAAAAAAAATCACAATTAGATATTTATCAATTTGATTTTAATTATTGTAATATTTGTAATTATTATTATATATTCAATCGATATATAGAATAAAAAATAATATATATAAATACAATAAATTTAGATTTGAGAGATAGTTTTGTAGTTGTTTAAATTTTATTAACAGTTTAAGGTAAGTTATTAATTTTTCAAATAAAGAAACTTAAGTTGAATTATCTGAATGGAATTTATCATATATTATATATGTAGAAAGTTTCGCTTACGTAAATGTAAAGCTAATAAGTTTTACACTCTTTTTAAATCATTATATCAAAATTAAATTTATAGATGAGATTAAAACGTTAGTATTTTTCATTCATCCTTTTTTTTTTTTTATGGCTTTCACGTTTTCCTTATCCTCTGCATATTATCAATGCCTTTTCTTTAAAAACTTAATTATGGAAGTTTAAGTCCTATATGTTCATTATCTTTACTTCTTTCTCTCCCTTCCCATCAAAGTAATGATTTCATTCCAACTTTACTGCTTTCATTAATTTTTCCTTTCTTTATAATGTTAATTTGATATTATTGTTGAAAGTAATTTATACGTTTAAAAAGTTGTTTATCATTCAACTTCACTACTAAACAACAAAAATTATGCTTTTTTTTAAAAAAATTTAAAAACTTAGTTTATAAACTAGAACAAAAAAAAAATGTTTTTACATTTAAAAAGTACACTTGAATATTATCTTTATATTTTTAATATTTTATTAATTTATATATATATAGATAGATATTTTATTTATTCACAGAGCTTTTATTTAAATGCTTATTATTATTTCAACAGTAATAATAATGCAAGCTAAATCAATCTTAAATTTTATTATTTGTGTACAAAATTATCATTAAATTTATCAAAAACAACAAAGCATCTAAGTTAATGAACACGAAAAAATGAGAGAAAACAAGAGATCTGAATTTCCTTTCATTGGAGGCTATGCTGACAGCCTAACACAATCCATTAGTATAACTAGAGATGTAAATAATACATTAATATTCGCAAGCTACTTGAATTCGATTCGAAGAAAATTCGAATTCGATTCGATTATTATCGAATCGAGCTCGAGCTCAAATAACTCAATTTATCGATCGAATCGAATTCGAGTATTTTTATATCCAACTCGAATAGCTCGCGAGCCTAATCAAATTTTTATATTTAAATATATTTTTATTATTTTAATTAATAAAATATTTCGAATCCGAGTTCGAATTATAACATAAATAATCGAACTTTTATCGAGTATACGAATCGAACTTATTTTTATATATTAATCGAGCTTAATCGAATGAACTCGAGTAACTCGAATTCGATCACAAATTAAGTTCGAGCTTAAAAAATAAAACTCGATCGAGCTCGAGCTGAGTATCGAGCTCCGAATTGTGAGTTGAGCTCAAATTCAAGTTTCTCACTGTAACGACTCGACTCGATTACACCCCTAAGTATAGTTATTACTAATGCTAACAAAAAAAAAAAAAACCATCAAAAATAGGATTATAGTACACTTAGAAGAGCGGAAGACGTGGATATATGTCTAATGTATTTTGGCGAAAATTTAATCCGCATCTTTAGTAGCTGACTTTTTCGGTTGGTATATGGAATTCTTTTAGTGCTAGTAGCAATAACAGGAAAAGGAGAACCCATTGGTGGTGGGTGCATTTAATTGATATGGATTCATCTGCTTTAAAATCTTTTATCAACATTAAATGCATCTCCTTTAGTTTATGATTTCAAGCAACAAGTTTATTAGCCCCTATTGTTTCCAAAACCAAACTGAGATAATGAGATGCTAGAAAGGGTTCTTTTGAACAGTAGATAAGATTAAATGCCATCAATATAAAACATGTTATACACATTATCATCAACTACTCAATCCAAACAATACCAATATTTCTTGTCATTAAATTTAAACCCAAAAAGACCTATTATTAAAAACATATTTTTTCTTATCCAAGCTATCCTCCTGGCAACCAAACTGAGGCTAGGGTGAAAATACTTCTCACTACTTGCTTCATCAGATAGCAGCTAACAGTACCTAGAATATATTTAAGAAGAAACAACCAAGTCAAACGGAAATGAGAGAAGGAAGCCGGAAGGCAAAAAGCATACACCAAAGAACATTCAATTTCCATCACATGCAGAAAATGGTCACATAAAGCCTTAAAACCATTCCAAGTGGTTGCATTTCATACTTTCAACCTTTACAGAGCAAGAAAAAGAAAAAGGAAACAAAAAACAAGGTCAGCTCTTAATATAAGTCGTCAGCCAGGCAAACACAAAAATAAAAACCAAGAATAGAGACCAATGTTGTTAAGGCATGCAAAGGCTCAGCCCCAAACATCAATAGAGCCTCATAACCCCTTAGGTGATGCCTCTTTGATGAGACGCGAGCTTTCTGTGATTAAGCACACTTCTTTCTGAAGCAGAAGGCGCTAAAAAAGATTGTCTCACTGAAGTACCTTTTATATTTCTGCATTTTAAAATGATCTTACTAGTTTTTATTTTAAAAGTCAGAAAAGGACCCACATATAATCTCCATACATGAAAAAAAAAAAAGGATAGTACAGTCTATCCAAAGCTTTTTTGATGAAATTAAAGCCACAGCACTAAATATTTTACTAGGGTAAAAAAAAAAAAAAAAGTGTCCCAGAAAGCTGTTGTACAACATTGTATATTAAGAGAAAATTGGGAACACTATCAGAAGTCTCAGCTTTCAGGGTTAGAACCAGTATCTTTTGAAAAAGGTATGTCATCTTTTATTTTGTATTATTACTTAAAGTTTTGTTTTCTTGTTCTCTCTACGTTCTTCTCTTTTTCTTTTTTGGGGTCCTTCTTCTATTTTTTGCTATTATAATGCAGAGGAATTGTCTCTGTTTTTAGCTCCAATAAGTCATAACAAGGTACTATACCTTTGTTTCCTCTTGAGAAACAGAGTATAAGCTGCTCTGTTATGAAAGAAAAAAAGAGAGCAAGAGTTAAAGGAATGTAGGAAGAGGTTTCCACCACAATGGAGTGCCGTTTTGGCATTGAACCATGCCAAAATGGCACTCCAACGCGGTGAAAATCCCTTCCTACCATGCTACCACTAAAAGCTTATCTTGTTTTGTAAGACAAAAACAGAGAAACCTAGATCTGGTCTTTTCATTCATATCAAAAACATACTTTCTAACTTTCTCTCCCAAAGCCCAAACCCTAGTGTATATTTTTTTTAATAGGCAAACCATTGTAAAACTTCCAGCTATCTTTTTATATAGTTCTAACAATTGTTTTTTTTTTTTCTTTAAATTGGTGTAGGAAGTTTAAAATGTCGATTAATATTGCTGCTTCAAGTGAAAATAATAAAAAGGATCCAAGGTGGAAGTACAACATTTTAAATGATCCCAAGGACCCAGATTCTGTCACTTGCATGTTTTGTGGTAAAAGCTGCAATATATCAAGCCAGTTGGTAATCACAGAAATGCTAAATCATGTTTGAAGTGTCAAGTGAAAGTTACAGAGGACCTTCTGGAAACTTTAAACATCATTGATTAAGGGTCACAGTAATAACTTGTCATTTTTGAACCCTAAATACTATAATAAATCATGTTTGAAGTGTGCAACATGCGCCTTACCTCACTCTGGCAACTGCTTTTATTGCACCTTGTGCCTCAGGCAATATCAAAGTCCTAGTGCCTAGAGTGCACCAGAGATCAAGACAAAAATTAAGAATTTTACAACCAAATATCAGAACTGAAAATCCCTAGTTTTGTCATGGATAAAGCAATCAATGAATAAACACAAACATATGAATTGTCACGAAAAGTAAACCATAACATATTTGAGTCAAACTATCTATGACAAATATATTTTAGAAACAAAGCAATTTAATCTAATCAAGAAACAAAACTTGTCCGAGGTTTTCATGGTAGTTGCAATTCAAAAGTAACAGATAACAGAATATAACAAGTTATAGAACTCACCAGGTATGATCTGACTACCATCATCCTCGGTCATCTCTACGCAATTTTCTCTCACTAGACCGAGCATCATCATATGCCATTTTCTCATAATGATCCAATTGTCTATTGCGCACATGACCTTTATTTCCTCGGTTGTCTTCGTCCCCTTTTCTCTGCCTACGGCTTCCATGGTGCTCATCCTCATCCCTTTCATGACTTCTATATTTATGGTCCATCTTATCTCTTTGATGTTCTTTCCCTCGAGGTTCCTCTTCATCCCTGCCATGCCTTCGACCACCTCTCTGGTCTTCATAATCCCAATCATTCCTCCTAGATCCATAATGTGGTTTGCTGATCTTACTCTTAATTCTGCCATCCTGTCTACCATTGTCACCATCAAGCTCTACTCCAGACCTAAGTGACCTCGAATAATCATCCCTCCTACGATCATCTTTTTCCCACCTAGAAAAATCATCCCTCCTACGATCATTCTCCCTATAAGCTCTGGCATTTGGTTCAAAATCAAACTTAGCATCCTTTGGATTATCCCTTTTATGCTCCACCTCTCTTCCTAAGTTTCGACTTCTTGACTTTGATTCTGGCTGGTCGTCATGGAATTCATCATCAAGCTTCCTCTTGCCCTTCATCATTTCCCTATTACTCTCTGATTCCCGCAATCTCTCTTTTCTGTCATCCTCATTTAGGGTTCTTCCCTTTCTATCATCATTCTGGACTGGACCGGATACAAACCCCTTTTCTTCTTGACTAGATTGATGACTACCTCTAACACCATGATTGTCATCATCACATCTATGTCCTCTTCTGTCTTTGTCAGCGGCGTTCTTCTTGCCTTTTATTTGAATCTTTAGACCACTGCTGTCAGAGTTATCATCACTAGAACTTGTATCACTATCAGTCAAAGAGACTGATCTCCTTCTAGCAGCCGTTTCTCTTGGTGCTGTAGCCTTGCCACTTTTCCTACCATAGGAGGAACTAGAATCATCATCATCAGAATCATGTCTTCTACCTCTTCCCCTACCCTTTTCTACTTTTTCATCACTTGCTATATCAGGATCACTGTCATCTTCTGTATCATACCTATGACGACCTTTCTTTGCTGTGTCCTTTCTACGATATCTTGCTCTCTCTGAATCAGAATCAGATTCACTACCCATGTTGTCCTTCCCTATTATCCGGCTCCCAGTCAGCTCAATCTTTCGACTTTGAACTTCACCTCCATTCTTTTCCCTCCCACCATCAGTGTCAGAGTCATCCATACTGGATTCACGCCTATGACTACCTTTCTTAACTGTTTCCCTTCTACGATCTCTTTCTCTATATGCATCAGCATCAGATTCACTACCCCTGTTGTACCTCCCCTTCCTCTGGCTACGAGTCAACTCAATCTTTCGTCTTTGAACTTCATCTTTCTTCTTTTCCTTCCCACCATCAGTGTCAGAGTCATCCTCACTGGAGTCATGCCTCCTACGAGATGATTTGTTCTTGTGAACATCTCTTTTACTAGTGTCATCATTGTCCACATCAGAATCAGAATCATCACCATCAAGTGGTCTGCGTCTATCATGCTTCTTAGCTGATTTTTTCTGCTTCCTGCCACTAGCAAATTCATCATGGTCGCTTTCACTATCATAACCCCTACGACTCTTCTTGCGCGTAGCTTTCTTCGAATGCTCTACACTACTATCTGTATCAGTATCAGAGTCATGATGCCTAGACCTCTTCTGCACCTTTCTCTTTTTCCGGTGTCTTGACTCATCAATTTCATCTCCAACTGCTTTTCCCTTTTTCTTGTCTGCCTTCAGCTTAAGGTCATCCACACCCACAGCAGCGGCAACAGGAGGATCTCTATCCAGAAAGGCATGCTCACGCTTATCATCATCATTATTCTTTCGATTATTCATCAAAGGAGGAGCAGCAGATTCAGAAAGTCCAATCCCGAGTGCAGCCCTGAAGGTCTCCATCTGCTTCTCCTTCCTCGCAGCAACTTGGTGAGTCTGCGTGTCCGAAACCCTAACAAAAAAACGAATAAATAAATTAAATTCATAATCAATTAATAATCAAAGAAAAAGAAAATTAAATTAATGAATGATTTACTTTTTCTGATGAGTAGGGGTGGGTATAACTTCTCCTTCTTCTTCATCTTTCTCGTGCTGAGCCTCGAGAGCCTTCCTAGCCTCGAAGAGCTTATCAGCGATCTCAGACTCAGTGTAGCCTTGCTCAGTGAGTTTATCTTCTAAAATCACAAGCTTGAGCTCGATCTGACGTTTACGATCGTGCTCGAGGATGTCCTTGTTGGGCTTCTTGGTGGTGAGGCCGGCCGTGCCTTGATCAGCCTCGAAAGGCCTGGTGGCGTCGGTTACCCGATTCGTCTTGGGCTTTACAAAGAACTTGTTGCTTTGAATGTAGCCGTTAGTGCCCGAACCCCGAGCGGTGGTCAGTCCGATTCCGTTGTACATTTAGGGAAATTTCAAAACCCTAACTCTCTTTCTGCGATTTTTTTTTTGTTTTTAATGATTAAGATGATATATAATTGCTAGAAAATTGAAAAGAAAAAGAGAGTGAGGAGGAGAAAAGTAAAAAGAAACTCAGGCTTTGGAATTGTTTCTTTCTTGCTCCGCCCTGCTGACTTCGAAATCAATTTCTGGAAATAACCCTAATCAAATCCGAAGATAAATCCAGAGTTTCGAAAGAAACCCTTACCTATTCAGAATCAGACAATTGATACGACGACGTTAACCCTATCACACCTGTTTGGGTTTTTGGCCGAGTTTTTTTTTTTTTTTAACGAAAAAATTAAGAGTTAATGTTTTCCAAATATATATATATATATATATATAAAGGCAAAAAAAAAATCTTCATATATATATATATAAATATATAAGAAATAGAGTAATTTCTAAACCTCATGTGGTTTCAACTCATATTTATGATTTTTTCAATAAGACTGATTAAATTTTGTTCGAGAATGGATTATTTTGTTAATTCTATCTTACAAGATAATTAAAATCTTTTTTAGTTTAATTTTTTTTATCATTATTAGATAGGAAATAGAAATAGGTAGGATTCAAGCTTTTATCTTAAATGTTTTTTTTCAAGCATTCTAATCATTAGCTTAAGACACTGAAATTTTAAATTTTATTTTATTTGTTTTTGTAAATTTTTTTGTAAAATTTAAAATGTTTTTTCTTGTAAATATATATTTTTAAAATTTATAAGATGAAATTAACTATTAACTTTTATGAGAAAAAACTTAAATAAAAAATGCTAATTAAAAATAAAAATGATGAGTGTTACATAAAATTTAAAAGTGATTCTAAATACATCCCATTTTTTATTCACATTCTTCTTTTTCAAAATAATTTTAAATGAAATTAATTAATTGTTCTTCTTTTTTTTAATCTCTCCACAACCATTTCTCTTTTTTCTTCATACCTTTCGGAATTTACAAATTTGAAATTTTTAAAAAATTTTAGAATCTCATGTCCAAAAACTTAAAAATTTCTATCTAATAACATTGAAACCAAAAAAAAAAAATCTAAAAGCCCACATAAATAAATTTTTTTATCAATTTGTAAACAAATTTATAATTATTTAAAATAATTCATGCTTTTTTTTTTGTAAAATTTTAAAATTTCTTCAAAATATTTTTTCTCGACTGACTTTGTTAAATCTTAAATGTAATTTTTTTTTAATTTGATAAATATACACAATTCGATAAGTTATATAACTTTTTAAATATGCATTTTCAATAAATTTTATAATATTAATAAATTTTATAATTTATTGAAATATTATAAAATTTATTGAAAATGTATATTCAAAAGCTTTAAAATTAAGATTAAAAAATAATTAAATAATTTTACCTAAAAATAATTTTGAACAAAAAAGAACTTTAGAGAAAAAAAAATGAAGATATATTTAGAACCACTCAAAAATTGAACTCACAAGGATTGCAGTTGATATTACCTAAAAGTCTACGACTAAATTCTTGATTTAAAAAAAAAAAAAAAAAACTACTAACTTAATTCGTGTATGATCCTGATAATTTATTTATTAGGCAAAAGTCAAGAGTTATGCATTTTTTTTATGTAGAATTTCTATCAGCAAACCCAATATAATTAAATATAATAACATAAATTTTATAAAAAAATAAATATAAATGTATAAAAAGAATTAAGTTATATCAATTTAAAATAAAGTGTTTTATATTTGTTATAATTTTATGTATGATTAATATTTTTACAAATCAACCAATAAATTTAAAGACTCGATCATATCCATGACATATAAAATTTAATTTTCAATCGATTTGATATTCTAAAAATTTTGATCGAGAATAGTACATTTTCAATGCATATTAATGGTTGAAATTTAATTATTATTATCAAACAAATAAATATTTTTGATTAACGACATGAATAAAGTATAAAATTCAACAATCAAATTAATAAAATATAAATCGTAAAAATATTGACACAAATATAAACGAATCCCTCTTTTACATAAATATAGATATTATAAAGTTTATAGGGAAAACTGAATCTAAGTTTCAATTCTTGTCAATAAATGCATAACAAGAAAGTGCAGGAACGAATGATGACCACTCGGAAGCATTACGAAAAATCAACACCAAATCTTACTTTAAATAATCAAAGAATGACGACAACAAGAACAACAATTGCATCTATGACAAAATGACAGCATTATTACTTAAATCTAGTTGCTAATTTGTTATGCTATTATATGATACTGTTCACGTATAAGATTCGAATACCATCCTTATTCATAATACTTCATATAAAAAGAAGTGGGAATAAAACAAAACAATATTGAATTCTGATAAAAAGGCGGTGCTGTCGCCTCTTATTTTAAGGTTACATATAGCTATTGAAGTGAACAAAGCTCGAGTGATTACCAACTCAAGTAGAAAGTAACAACATTTAGCAGATAAACGTATGCATGATTACTTGTCACTTGTGCTCCGGGGACCAACCAAAATATTCACTACTCCGGCAAATCTCACCGGCCAAACTCGAGCTTTGTGTATGTACAGAAACAGGCTCCTTTGTTTTAGTTCATAGTTTCTGATTACGGGGACACGGAACTAACAGTTGCCTCGGATTGTTTCTCTGCAAGTTGAGTTTTGAGGAATGCCAGCACTGAAAGGCGCTGCAGGTGAAAAGAAAATGAGATATCACTTTCCAATAATTAAGTAGCCCCAAAGCTACAGCTAAGGAAACCTACCCGAGGCTCAAGACCAGCTTCTTCAGATTTCAATGTCAAAGAATCTAACAATTTTATGGCTTCTTGAAATCCATCAACAGCCACATCCTCTTTTCCAAGAGTTCTGTCTACATCAGCAACTTTTGCAAGGGACACTGCTACATCCAGAATCTGCAATACAAAAGCAATAAGACAAAAACAACGCTACAATTTTCAATGCCAACGAAAGCATCTACAACAGAAAAAGGGAAGAGTTTCTCCAGCACGACAATGGATTTCAATTGTAAATCCACTACTGAAAACGAAAGGCAAAAAATAAATAAACATTATATCGCCTAATTTGAAGCAACCAAACAAAAGGGAAACTTGTAATTTTATCGAGCAAATGAAACAAAGTCAAGTGTGATGCACAGGAAGGAACCTATATTTAAAAATTTGAAACTTAAAGATTGGGTTTCTGCATAAATTTTTCAGATGAGTTCACTTATTTCAGCATTTAACAATATAGAAAACTATATATAAATAACCATTTAAATCATTTCAAGTAAACATTTTTTTTGCCACTGGCATCTAATCAATGAAACAAACTAGCAAGTCATCCAGAAGAGAGAAACACATGATAAGTGGCATTAGTAAGCCCTATACCATTCTGAACTAGTTTCACAATCTACTCTATTTTGTTTCATAAGCATTGGTTTTCAAAAAAAAAAAAAACACTTTAACAAAGTTTCACGTTTAATTTAGAACAGCCACAAAGGGAACGGTAAGGGGACAACCCTCAGCCAAGCCTGTGTTATTCCTTACATAGAGTGATACTACTTGTGATCTTTTACCAATAAACTGCCAAGGCTGGACTAATTTGGAAACATTGGGCAATTTACTTTATACCTACTATTCCGTCTGGTTTTTGGTTCCAAGTCTGATTTTATTAGTAGCCATGATTGGGGCTATAGCAATGACCACGCATAGAACCACTAAGATGAAAAGACAGGATGCTCATACTTTAAAAACTATTAGCATGCATTCTCTGCTATAAATACAGCTGTACTTGAAATACTGCTTCCTGAATAAAGTTTATAGTCATTGAAAGAAGGGCTTAGTGTAATAGTTGCATTAAAGTTTGATCAGTAGGAATCCAATCGCAGAAAAGTAGCTGAAACTGAATGATGTGAGAAGTTTCTGCATGGCACCAAAAAGTAAGGTTTTAAAGAGGCTGGAGGATTTGATTGACAGGAACTGACAGAAACTAGGGAGGATCCAGGATTTGGTGTTACCACGTGAATGGTAAATTTACGGGTTTGCTAAGTAAGTCATGATATTAGAGCTTGGAAAATGAAAATTCAAATAAATTGCGACCAGAAAGCATGAGATATTGTTTATAAATAAGAAATAAGAAAAATAAAAAGGAAGCAATACAAAACAAGATCTAGGCATTTGCATCTAAAATAACCAAGTAACTCAGAATTTCATTCATCAAAGCTAACAAATTATGAAGAGTGTATAAGCTATATGGTGATTACAGAGAAACATGAAATAAAGCTAAATCCACCAGATTTGGAATCTGAATATGTAAATAAGTAACACTAAACAAAGTTCAACTGGAAGGATACACATACAATAAACTTGTAGAAACATCAAACCCACCCAAAAAGGAAACCATAACTCATAAAAATAGCAAGATTTTACAAAGCTGTCCCTCTAAATGGAAATTTCCTCAAATTGCTAATGGCAGAAAAAAAAAAAATATATATATATATATATATATGGACTCCAATTAAACAAAATAAAAGAAAAATACATGCTATTTTTTTGGTACACAATTGCAAATATATATTTAAAAAAGAATAAAAATACCTAATCCTCTATGGCTGCAATATGATGTCCTTACCACTCAGGAAACATCCATAAGAATATCATAAGAATATCTACGGGCCATAGTTTTCCATATATCAGCATGTAAGCAAAACCTTCAAGAAACAAATTTCCTTAACCAATGTAATTGATCCACTTAACTAATTGTCACTTAAAAGTGCTGATTTAGATCCATAACAAATACTGCAAGTCACAGGCATCTCATTTTACACCATTTTGATAATGCTAAAATGCCAAGATAAAGCCATAGATCCAGCAACATCACTGGATAAACTTGAGAGCATCCAGAAGAGATCAGGAAAGAACACTTGTTCCTATCAATGTCTTTGATTCAATGAATTTGTACATATTCAAACGCAACGTTTCAGATCAATAAAACAGATTAAGTTTTAGTCGGTTTTAAAAATAATGAAAGCTGACACTTAATATGACATGATAAAATATAAATGTCATCAGAAGACATGAAACAATTCACAAATAACCACAAATACATAGGGACTATGATAATAATATCAAGCTAAGCTCAACAGAAAGAAAAAAAAAATACAGGAAGGAAGCGAACAAACAAGTTGCTAACCTGAGAAGCAACGCCAGGATGATTCTTGATGACATCGCGTCGGACACCCAATGAGCGGAAGTAGTAAGACCTTGCAGCTTGCAGATCACCATCATAATACTTAAGATCTCCAATTTTGTTAAGTGAAACTGAGAGTGTATGTGTTATCTGTAGAAAATAGGTTCAAAATGATCACGGATACCTCATTAATGAAGAATATAAGGGCAGTATGAGAAGCAAAGTTTATGGTGCTATAACCTCCAGATCATCTGTTGGCAATTTTGTAAGGAACTCAACACTCTCCTCAAAATAATTGACTGCAGCAGCAGCATCTCCCATTGCTCGACTGCAAGAAACTTGGATGTTCATATTTACTCAAACAATTGCATTACAAATACAAAGATGTCTCATCCAGTTGTTCCCAATGAGAGTTTTTAGACATTTGGCTTTGCCTAAAATAAAGCTCTCATCAGGCTATTTCATGATTCTTCTCTAAGTTTTCCACATCATGTTTTAAATGAGGCCAATCTTCACACCAGAATTCTGTTTCTCCTCATAAACAAGATTTTTATGAAAATAACAAATAAATCTAACTCCAATTACTTCTTTCAAGAATATGATAACAACTTAAAACTTACACAATCCAAAAACCCTTCCAGGTAATTAATACAGTACGAAGAAAAACATAGCACAGATGACATTTCAAACTCATAGAAGCTCAAACACTTCAACCAACTTGTCCACTACGTTATCGGTTTTTTAGAGCTTAATCCAATACTCAAGACAAGAACAATACTCTGCAGTCTAGATCAAGGACTTTTCTGTGCTATTAATTTTTTAGTACTATCTCTTTATTTAGTTGTAAATGAAAAGGTTGTTTTTGATAGAAATGAGTGGTGCAAGAAGATTCAAAACTACAACCTAACATTATTCCTTTTATTGGCCTTTCATATGGCCGACCCCAAAGTTATGAGATATAAAGCTTAGTTTGTTGTTGTATTTCTTTATTAGTTCTTTGATTATGTTTCTAAAAGAGCAAAGCTCAACAATAGAAAAGCAGTAATAGAAAATAAAGAACAGTATCCTAAAGTGATTTGAACAGTAGCACTACAAATATGTAACATTACTACTAAATAGTGACAAAACCATAGGTTGATTGATAGCACGTCACCAAAAGAAGAGATCTCAAGTTCAAATATCTCTTCTCTCAATCTACTAGAGGCATATAATTCTAAATTAAAATCTTTAAAACTTCTCTAAAGTGCTGTTGAACAGTACTCTAGAGTGGTCTGAACAGCAGCACTACAAATTTGTAATATACTACGAAACTGTGGCCAAACCATAGGTTGATTAATAGCACGTCACCAAAAGATGCAATATCAAGTTCAAATCTCTCTTTCCTCAATATAAGAGAGAAACAGACAAACACAGCAATGCTGCTAGAGCACTCTAAATTGGAACTTTCAAAAATTAACAACTCTCAAGAGAAGCATCAGCATTACTCCTCTTTCCATATCTCCTCAAACAAATCTAAAACCCTCAAAACAAACCTTCGCTAGCTTGTGCACTGCATTAACTTTTTCGTAGAATCCAATCTAGAACATGCTGCCCAAAAGTCTCAACTGCAAATCTCTGATTTAGAAAAATCATCTGGCAAAACTCTATCCAATACTTAATCTTAAAACAACCACAAAAACAAGTTACCAATTTTTTTCATCCATTGGCAATATTTCCATACAAAACATCCTCACCATTTGAGTGAAACAAATCTCTTGGCTTGTTGGGCACCCCATCCATGGTACCTATGCCATTGGATTGTTCAAACCCAAATTCGTTGGCAGGGCCCATCACCAGAAGCACACCTCATAAAGGACATCCAATCTTAAAGAACCGAAAATTCCAACTTCCAAGCACTTAAGGCCCAAACTAACAAGCAGATTAGCTGATTGAGATCATTTAAGCTTTTCAATGCACAAGAAGCACACCTTCTAAAGGACATCCAATCTTAAAGAACCGAAAGTTCCCACATCCAAGCATTTAAGTCCCAAACTAACAAGCAGATTAGCTGATGGAGATCATTTCAGCTTTTCAATAACTAATGCATATAAGAGATTAACATATCTTTTCCATCATTTACTAACTCATCTCCCAACCCATAATCTGGTATGGTAGTAGAAATGAGCCTATAACTAATAGGCCTCTTATCCTTTGAAAAATAATCTTAGTCCCCAAACCAAAGCCAAGTTTACTCAGTTCTCACAAGCTCAACAAAATTAAAACAACTAGGTTTTAAAGAAGCAAAATAGAAATGTTCTACCAAACTAAGCCATCACTTGAACTAGAATGAACGTGCATGTCTAACTTGGAGGTTCGACCCAAACCACAATCCTCTAGCCCACTTTATTCAAAACTTGGAATAGCAGTCTCACCCATCAACATTTTCAGCCACAAATTGCAAAGTCATACCTGCATGTGCATTGTCTGCCACCTCATATAACCTTTATAAAAACCTATTATCCACCCTTTTCCTCTAAAAGTAGGGTATTATCTTTTTCCCCCTAGAAGGAACAACTCTTCATACGCACAACTGCAACTCAAATAAGATGTTGATACTCTCCTAGCCAACATGATTGGAAACAATTTCATCTGCTTGGAGTCTGCCCCCATATGAAACACACCCAAACTCTTTTCTTTCAATGTAGACCACCTACCCCAAACAAAGAACCCCACAAACCTAAAGCACCTACTCCTTGGAACACCAATGACATAGAACCACCTCCTTTAATCTCCTAAAAAGTAACAAAACTTCCAAACTTGTTTGAATTCAACTTCAAAACCAATACCCTTTAGCTAAATCAATCTTTTTTGACCAGTCTCACATTTTTCACATCCAAACTTTTTAAACATCCTCAACCACCATTCCATCTCTGCCACATTAAAGTAGATGAAGATACTCCTTCATGATCCTGAAAAGATCCTCTCTCAACCTTTAAGGCCACGAAATAGGATGTTCAATCAATCATATCAGAGATTTAAAGTCACTTTTGCATGCTTCAACTTTCATTAGTTAAATTTTGGATTGATCTAGGCTCCAACAGGTTATGCAACTTTTAAGGAAGAGGTTAGAGACCCTAGGTGACAGTCTGAAACTCTTTAAGTGTTTGATTTCAACATAGAATCATTAGGAAGTTGGATATTCTTCCATACAAGTGCTACAGTAAAAGCACCTCATAACAACTATGTAAAAAATACATGGGCTTAACAAAGCATTTGTAAGAGATACAAAATAATCAAAGTACTCAAGCAAAGATGGGCACATATCTCATATTTGAGTTTACATCAAGCCTTGAGGTTTAGAATGAAAATCACAGTTTTAAATCACATTGGTACAGCTCCAACATCTTAAAATCTCAAATGTAAATTTACCAATGGATACTTTAGCTAAGCATTAAACACATAATAAAACCTAATTGTGCTCTTCTTATCTCTCAAAATAAAAAAAATCTATAGTCCAAGCAGACTAAATCGTAGACATAATTGTGCATGACATGTGCATACATTCAGGCATCTGCAGATAAATATACACAAAAAGAGACAAGAGGAGTGTGTGTGTGGGAACATACCAGCAATCGCCAAGCATACCCAGTACTGCACCAAGCTGTGAGCACAACTCTGATGTGTTGCCCATTTTCTCTAGTTGATCTCTGATGTCTTCCTCACACATGGTAAGTCTAGATTTAGCGCTTTCTATATTCTGAGAACGAAAAGCCTATACAAAGCAAGCAGAAACTAATTTCACATAAGCAGAAATAAAGAAAGCACCTGAGAGGACCAAGCATTAAACAATGAGCAAGGACTTACCCTCATGGCCTGTTGCACTAAGAAAGCACCTCTGTCCAACGAGACATCCTCGTAAATTACCTTTTTATCCTCGTTAGGAACTTGCTCTCCTTCCCCATTGGTGTCAAAATGAGCCCTCTTGATCCTAGCATGGCCGTCAATAAATCGATCAACCATGCTTTGAAGACTGGTGTCAGCTTCCAACTTCTCTATGTCAGCTCCACATAATGGACAATCCTTGAACCGAGAAATACATACTCTAGAAAAAATAAAAATTTATCATTAAAAAAAGCAAAAAATGGCCAATTACGAAATAAACATAAAATGATTTATCATCATAAAAAAAAATTGTCAAATAAGAAAAAACCAAGAAAAAGAATATCACAGAAAAGCAGCAAAAACAGTCGAATAAGAAAAAAAAAAGCATCAATGAATTAACATAACAAAGGGGGAAAAAAATCAAACAAGAAAACCCATCAAGGAATTATCATAAAAAAGAAGCAAAAACAGTCGAATAAGAAAACCCTATTAAAGAATTGTCATAAAAAATAGCAAAAAAAAAAGTGAAATAAGAAAAATCCAGAAAGCAACGATGGGATAATTGATTATTACTTGCAAAAAAGATGAGAACAAGGGATACATTTGGTGGAGTCAAAGAGAAGAGCTTGGCAGATCATACAACTGAGAGGACCAAGCTTGAAATTATTGGAATCGTAACCGAAGGGGCATTTGGGAGACACGGTGGCGGAGTCGACTTTTTTGGCTGAACCGGTGTCGTCCGGACGAGCCGCTTTCACGAATGGGCAAACGGGGGTGCTCATCTCGTTTCTATAAAACGTAAAAACCGATAATGGGAGGAGAAATATATATCGGATCGGTTATGAGAACGACGTCGTTTGGATATTTAATTTTATTTTACTTTTTGCTCAAATTGATTTCGTTTCTATGGGGACCTTTTTCTTCCGCAACGCGTGTTTTCACCATTCACCTCCTGTCCTAAGTGAACTCATCCTCTTTGGAAATGGAAACAGAAACCATGTATCGGGTTACTCAAATATTTTTGGTCTCTAATTTTTAAAAGCTTTTAATCGAATTTTTAATTGTTTAAAATTATCTTGGTCCTCTCATTTATAAAACTATTTAAATTAATAATACATGTAAGTTGGTGTGATAGATTTTTCTATACGATTTAAGAAATTAAATAAATTTCATATCATTTTTATATTATGTAAAAACTTTCAAATCATTTTAAAAAATAGATTTATTAATTTATTCAAGAATATATTTTTATCTAAAAAATCTAATTTAAATTTATTTTTTGTTAAAAAATTTATATTCATATAAAATAAAAAATATAATTTAAAACATTTTTTATAAAACATATTTTATAAAATATTTTTAAAAAGGAAAAATAAAATATAGGTAATATTTTAAAAAATAAAATTTTTGGATAGAAAATAATATTTTTTATGACTTATGAGTAAAATAATATTTTATTAAAATGTATTGAATTTTTTAAAAAAAAAAATATGTATAAAATATGTAAAATTTTGATATAATTTCTTGTTGTCACATAAATATCAACTATCAACTGATATTATCATATAATGTCAACTATTTTTTTTTTACCCATGCCGTGCATAGAGTTTTTTATTATATTTTTTTATAATTTAAATTTTTAATATATATTAATTTTATATTATATATAAATAAATAAAAATAATCATAACCATTTATAATTTGGAGTTTAAAATTAAAAATTTTGTCTATATACAAATTATTATGAAAGATATTATGAAAATTTTAAATTATGAAAGTAAAATTATATACAAATATCAATGAAAAAATTAATATCTTATTCACAATTACATAAATTTTTAAAAGTATATATTCTTTTACTATAAATTAAAATTTACACACGTGATATATCATAAAAAAAATTTTCATATTTAATTTTAAAACTTTATTTTGTCATACTTTTATGACGAAAAGAATAAAAGATTGATTGTGAGAAAAAATCATAAATATTTATTTGATAATTATTTAATTTAAAAAATTTTAAAATTTTAAAAATTTAGTTTATCCAAGTTTAATTTTAAATTAAGATAAAAAAAGTTAGTATAATTTTAAATTTAGATATGTGTGTAATTTTAAATTGAAATAATTTTTTTTAATTTTAAATTATAAAAAAATAAAGGTAAAAAATTGATAAATAACAGTGATTTAACCATAAATTTTATTTATTTAAATTTATATAAATATTAATTTAGACAGTGTATAATTTTTTATAATTCCTAAAATTTAAGGATTTAACTTTTAAAAACTATTTGAATTAGGTAAGAGTGAAATATGAGAAGATATATTTTATTAGATTTAAAGTAAGATAAATCTTATTTTGAAAGACTTTGATAAATGTAAATTTTAAAACTTTAAAATTTTTAAAAATTAAATAATTGATTGAATAAAGTTATTTAAAAATATCTTACATGTCAATAATATAAGTTGTTCACCTAAATTTTTATGTAAGTAAAATTTATCAGATTTTTATATATGTTGTAATATAATATTATATATAATTGATATTTTTTGTCAATTTAGACAATTTTATAACTTAAAATAATTTTAGACAATTAAAAATTTAATTAAAACTTTTTAAAAATTAGATACCAAACTAAAATTTACGTTTTAAGCAAGTGTTGTTAACCCATAATTATATTATTATATACAATTTCTTTTATTAAAACAAAAAGTATACCTATCACTTTTCTATTCGGCTCCTCCGAAGGAATTTAAGTGCAGTGAGCGGGAGTATTTAAGGTCAAATTAAGTTTGAGTCAATTTGAGATAGAATGGTGCTAAATGCATCCCTATTTTTTTTCTTCACACCTTAATTTTTTTTGTTAAAATATTTTGTAAATAAAATTATTTAATTATTTTTCTTACAATTTTCTGAAAATGAATTTTCAATATGTTATAAATCTTCCCAAAAATGAATTTTCAAAAAATTATAAATCTTTTCAAAAATTTTGCATTTTAGAAATTCATTTTCGGAAAAATTTATAATTTTCTAAAAATTCATTTTCAAAAAATTATAGATTTTGAAAAATTCATTTCTGAAAATTTATGTGAAAGAAAAATGATAATTAAATAATTTTACTTGCAAAAAATTAAAAAACAAAAAACTGAAATGTGAAAAGAAAAAGCTGAAATACATTTAGCAGCACTTATTAGAATATTTACCACCTATTTGTGAGGGTATCCAAAAAACAAACGGTTATTTATATGCTTCCTACTAAAAAAAATAAATTATATATTTTAAATAAATTTATATTTAATACACTATTTATATATATATATTATCGATAAATTAGATGATGTAATTTTAATAAAATGAATCAAATAATAATACCTTTTTAATGAATAAATATTTTTAAAAATATTAATTTTTATATATTTATTTTAAAAATTATTATTTACTAATTAAATAAATTATTATCATTTGATTCACTGACAATGTATAAAATGTATACATGAACCACGCATCAAATATAATATCTTTTCAAATTTAGGCTTTACAAACTAAAGCTAACAAAGAATCCACATTAGCAACTAAGTACAGCAAACACAATTGTTGTGGTTTTAGTATTGATCAAGAAACTACACAATATGGACCTCATCTGATGGCTAACAAAATATATCTTACAAACAAAATAAATTCCCCCTGAAAAATTTGCATAGGAAGAAGAGATATGCTGCAAAATAGCTACCAGAATCTAACAAGAAAAGACTTCCAAACTTACTGAATTTCTTTTTCTTCTTTATGCTATCCACAAGTACAAAAGAATATGGCGATGTTAATGTACAAAAATATCAACTTCATACTACACTTATTTTCCTTTTCCTCACCTCTTTCTTGGGGTCCCACAAACAATCCACCTCTCAAACGCAAAACCCCAATGATTCACATTATATGCTGTAAAAGAATTATCTACGAGATGTGAAATCGCCAGTAACCAACCATATGTATGTCAGACTTGCTACATGCTTATGCAGACCTTGGCAAATCCTTGGTGACACTCCAAAATGTTTCTGGTATGGGAAACTATACAAGACCACCATAACTGTTTCATGCAGAACTTTCCCATCAACTTCGGAAAGTGTCTGCTCTTCTAGTTCAGGCAACAAAACCAACACAATGCAGCAAAAAGATGCTTGGCTCCCACATTCATACTGTTCATGATGACAAGTCAAGCGTTTCACCATATGGACATCTTTTATAAAATATATAAAAAAAAAAAAAAAAGCGTTGCTCAAAATAGAGTGAATGCACATTATTTGAGCTATTTGACACGAAATTCGAGTCTGAATATGGTTAGATTCTGGGTGTACTTGTCCCTGTTCTTTGAATCTAAGCTTCGAGTAACATCTGTCATTAGCTTGTCAAAACAAAGGGAGAGCCTCTGATGTTGATCTACAGGCTGCAAAATAAGGCATGTATCACATGATGGACAGTAAAGGACAGGAGTAAAAAAGTGAAGATGAAGACAAAGATAAGAGAGAGATGCCAAGGATAAGCTATTAGTCCTAAAATAAATTTTTCACTAGCATTAATCTTGTGGCCGTTCACAACATGAAACCAACAGTTTACACGAGTATTGCAGAGAATAATAAAATTGTAATACATACAACTTACAGTTAGGACAGCATCAATTCCCTCATCACAAAAGAACCATCCAGTATAATTTGATTTTCATCAAGCATAAAAGAAAAAAAAATTGCATAGGATAATAACACCAGAAACAGCTGTATCCTCTCTGTTCGAGGGTTTGAGACTTCAAGTAATTTTATGTATGTCAATATTTCTAATAGTAATTCTTCATGTCTAACATAATAGACCACTATCAAAATTCACCAGTTTATCAGAATTTATAAATTGATGTGACCATAATTGGCACTTTTCTGCAATAGTACTGATTTTTTAAGGGATAAGCCAATGCATCTACAATGATAATGAAATTAAAGATACATACATGTTAGGTTTAGTCGATGCACGGAAAAGTTTTCTTAAATGCAAGAATTAAACTGCACTATGGCCATAGAGGTGGAAAAGTTACTAGCATCCTTTATTTTTTGAAAAATTTTAATTTTGACCTCAATCTAAGAAATTGAGCTAGAAAATTTAGAATAAGGGAAATCTAAAGTTTAAGAATCTATGAACTATTCAGGTTTCATCCATGAAAGATGCTATTCCAGAAGTGTCCCTAAAAGCCATTCCAAGAATGGTTCTACAGCTGTGCAAGGTCAAAGCAAGTCAAAGTTTGGTCATTTGTATTTATTGCCAAAGTCTAATTTGAAGTATGATTATTTCTAGTTTGCTGTATGGATTTAGTAGCCTTTTTATCTAACACTTGGTTTACACTGTCATAGATCCTTCACGTGATTGACACTGCATGTGGTTTCGTCTCTGGTCTGATGGTTTGGAGACTATTAATTTTGATCCTGAGACACAGTCCTATTTGAATTAAAAACGCCTAAAAACTTAGATGCTTCCAAATGTAAAACCTTTCCATCATTTTGTATGAAGTTCTATGAAAATTGTCCAGGTATGATGTAACGGGAATCATATTGCTTTAATTGTAATGCTGACTAAACAATTTATGCTGAGGAGATGTTTAATTGCCAAGTAGCGAGGAAGCCAAAGCAAATAAGTGTCAGCCATAGAACGTCAACATGTTCTTTAACATAGCAACATTAATGAAAAAGGGGTATGACTTTGCCTGATACTACGTCTTGGAATCAGCATTAAGAAAATATGTCGCTAATCCAAATGTAAGCAAATAAACCTATCGGCAAAATACTGTTCACACATGAAGTTTGTTGCAACAATTAAGAAAATATGTTGCTCATTCAATTGTAAGCAATATATATATATATATATATATATATATATTGGCAATTTTGTTTACATATGATGTTTGTTAAAACACAATAACATCAGAAAAACACAAAATAATGCCAAAAAAAAAAAAAAAA